CTGAGTGATTCCAGCCATGAAAGCCTTCGACAATACATTGAAATAAAAATAGTTCCAGGAACAGAAGTTTTAAGGGCAAACTTAAAACACTGCTACAGTACATCTTCAAAACATGTGAATGTATATACCTCACTCCTCATGCAATGCAAACTTTATTACTGGCATAAATTCTGGTTAATTCAGATCTGTCTTTTAAAACAGAAATGACAGATGTCCTATTATATTTGCTCTTCATGTACATTTTTAGGCACAAGTAGGTAAAAATGATCAGTGAGACAGAATTTGATCACAGCAGGGTCAAATATCTATTCATAGCTTAGCACTGAACTTTGCTTTTGACACTGTTTCTTAATATCTAAATGTATATGTTCCTATTCTGACGTTTGTACTTTTTTGGCAGTGGTCATTCACCAAAAAATGTACAAACATCAGAACAGGAACATATACATTTAGGTATTAAGAAACACACATTCATAGCTAAGCATTTTATTTATTCATTTAGGATTTCTGCACTAAAACATTTACATCTATTTATTTATACATATATTTTTTAAATATTTATTTATTTATTTATTGTTCTTATACCCCGCTACCATCTCCCGCAGGACTCGGTGCGGCTTACAAGAGGCCAAGCCCCACAACATCACAAAACAACCACAACAAAACAATGAATAACTTATAAATAAATACATTTACATCTATTTATTTATAAAAGACATTTGAAAACCTTTTAATTTTGCAGTGGATTGATTTATAAAGTGAAGTTAAGCTATAAATATATAGTAGGCAACCAACACTAAGCTTTAGCACATATACACATCCTGAGAACAAAAAAAGGAAATGTATTCTCTAATGAGCCATCTTGTAAGAAGAGTACAGCTGACACAATAGTCACACTGACAAAATCTGTACCAATTTAAGGCTCCTTAACAGCTCTTGAGGGTAGACCTCATTAAGACAGTGAGATAAAATGGAGTTCAGACAGATATGCTATGCTAAGCTTAACTGGATTTCTGAATTTGTAACCTGTTAAGTGAGGAGCCCCAAACTAGCCTAAAACCTTAGTGTCACCTCTATATTTTATATAAACTACATTTTTTGCTTCTCAGTAACTCAATGCTATTGAAATTTCAACTGCATGACAGATGGACTGGGAAATTACATTGCCCCTATGGCAACTTTAAAACACAGCCACAGCCCCTCAACACTGATAGAAAACCATATCAGTCCATTAAAACTCTAAAGCATATACTGTTAAATAAATGTAGTACATACACACACAAGCACAATACTGTAATTAAAAAGTCAGTTGTTTTACATATACAAGAACAAAAAAGTGACAAGACTAATCCTGAAACTTTTTGGTTTGGTTGCTCCACTTCCTGATCTTTCTCTCTGTGTATTTTTATTCACATCACAGGCATGTAATATTTTTATCCTCATTCAGAATTGATTTTGAAACAGAGAGAAGATAAATGCAAAATACACTCTGCTCATTAAACACACTACTAGTTTCTTTTATAATGAAGAACCTCCATTGTTATTTACCTGTGTCATAAAGATATTGTTCAGGAGGTAAATAATTAGGTTCAGAGCTCCTGATTTAATACAATTTCTGGGGAAAGAGGTTTTCTCATAAGCACAGAACAAACTGCTATCTACATAGTTGTTTTTATGCCACAGTCCCTCAATTGAAAATATGAGGATCTGCACTTTTAACTGAAGTGATCAGAATAGTTAAGATGGTCCTTTTTTCACATTTGGCAGTTAGCTGAATAAAAAGTGAAAAGACTATGCTGTGGGAATTAAAAATAAAATCATCTGTAGCAGACCGCAGCTGTGTGAAATTAAGCTTCATTTATGCAGTTCTATGATGTTCTGTCAGCTTCCTAAATGCTGCATAATTTGAAATTTCACCGTGTTCTTTTCTTGGATAAAGATTTGCCTGTTTAAAATTACTAATATTTCTCTCTTAAAATATTAGTTTAAAAGTGATTTGAAACTAATATTCCCCAAAACCTTTATTTTATTATTATAATTTGGGCCATGATAACTCAAGGATACTTTTCCAGAGTAGGCAATGAGAATCCAGTGGGCTTCCACCTTTATTCCCAGAAATACTGGGGTTTACGCCTATATATTGAATTTTCTATTCTTTTCTTTCATGAACATCTTACAAGGTTACTCTTCTTTGGACAGTGCTCTTATACAAAGATCTCCCCACTACCACCACCATTAAAAAAAAGATTTGTGTAAGAATTTCCCATGTTCCCTGTTGTACCATAGAATCTGAGCCAGGACCCTTTCATACTATACAATTATAATGCTATGATTCCACTTTAACTATAATGGCAACCTACTATAGAATCTTGGGGTTTGTCATTTGGGAAGGCTCTATGAACTGCAAATCCTGGGATTCCATAGTATAATGCCATGGTAGTCAACATGAAATATAGTTCTGTAACTGGGCATGTAAACCAGACATGGGCAAATTTTGGTCCTCCAGATGTTTTGAACTTCAACTCCCACAATTCCTAATAGCCTACCAGCTGTTAGGAATTGTGGGAGTTGAAGTCCAAAACATCTGGAGGACTGAAGTTTGCCCATGTCTGATGTAGACTCTCTGTGAACCCCAGAATGCTTGAAAAAGCAATATACTGAATTGAATGGAGAACATCCACAAATAGAGGAAACTCCTCTTTTTACAATGCTGGTCTCCATATGGAAATGGTGAAATGGGAGAATGCAGTTCAAACGCTTCATCATCTAAAATATTATTTACAACACCTAAATAACAGCAAAAAATCCAAAGTGGATGAGAGAGGGCGATTTCAGACATACATTTAACTTGCTTCAGATTGGGTTAAGTAAACTCACTCCAAAGTGCATTAAAGTCCACATACTCTGGAGGAAACAATGGGCTTTTCTATGGGCTGCCATGGGTGCCACCCCAACCCCCCCCTCCCCCCACAAAACCCTTAAAAAGAAAAAGAAAACTTACGAGGTGCCATTAGGCCTTTCTTCAGCCTGATGGAACATACCAATGATGCATGATTAGATGGGGGGGGGGGACACAACAAATTGCTCCTCATGCATGATTGGTATATTCCATTAGGCCTGAAGAGAAGTCTAATGGTTCCTGATTAGTTTTCTTTTTATTTTAAAGGGTTTTTGGGGAGTTTGGGGAAGGGGGGAGTACTATCTCGCATCTTTGGACTATAGAAGCCCAAAAGGTGTGAGATGGATGTGCAGACAGGTCTGTGGGTAGTCCTGGAGCAGTCCATGGGCCTGTCCCCACAGGGCCCATAAGCTGTGTCTTTCAGGAAGCCATGGATCTAATGGACTATCAAATTAATTTAGGACAAAGTAGTGATTTCCTGCTTTGTCTCAAATTAAGCCTTTTTTACTGGGGGCATCATTTGGATGCCTCCAGTAAAAGTGTGAGAGGGTCCGAGATATGGGCCCTGTTTGGATAGCCCCAGAGGTTAACAATATGTACTGGAGAGGAAAGAAGGTTGATGTGTGGTATGGATGAGGAAACAAAAGAATTATTATCTGCCATGTCCAACACATACCAAAATCATACCAGAAGGAGTTGTTTGGCGTTTACCAGTCATCCTTATTGACATGAATTTAGAACCAGCGAGGAAGGGGAAATTATATCAGCTGTAGGCTTTTATAGCTGAGTCTAAGATCCTTCTGTGTAAAAAGGCTCTATTTCAGGGGTCCTTGCACTTTTTGAGCATATTTTATAGTGCAAACAAACATGTAAAAACAATCAATATTTAAAATGAAGAACAATTCAGGAAGTGCTTTGAATGCAATTTTCCTGCTTCTTGGCAGGAGGTTGGACTTGATGGCCCATGAGGTCTCTTCCAACTCAATGATTCTATGAATTACAGTGCTGTTAGTTGTAGAATATCACAATTCTAAAGTTTATCTGCTACAACATTTCCCAAACGCTAGTTTTAGCCTTCATCTCCCAGAATTCCTGATCATTCGCTAGAGCAGTTGAAGCTTCCCAGAGTTGAGGTATAAAACACCTGGAGAATTGAGTTTGGGAATGGCTTATCAAGTAGTTCCTGAAACTAAAATAGTGTATGTTCAAAACATATCTAAAACAAATCACAATTTCTTTAAACTTAGAAAAAACCTGCACATATGTGTATGTACCTATATTCATCCTTATTTGACTTGTCTAAAAACATTTCTGAAATAGAAATTTGTTTCAATCCAGTAAATAGTCGAAAAAATTTAAAGCCGGATATTTAAGAACAGAGCAATAGAACAATCTAAAGAGGAGTTGATAACTAAAGAAATGTATGGAATCTCATCATTCTTCGGGTTTCTTTTTCATTTTATGACAGTTTTGTACATTGGCATATTGGTGTAAAAAAATCCCAGGTACAATAAGAAGTCTTTTCAAAGAAGCAAGATACTACAAAATATTATGCAGTATAAAAGGAAAGGAACTGAACCAAGATATTGCCAAGGGCATCATGACTACAAGGGCATTTTTTCTGTGATAATAGTGTCTGCTGCTACCAATCTAAAAGGATGGTTCTCTTTGTAAATCCATCAGACTGTAGAATATGCTGTGTAAGAAATAGTAGCACATCATATTATATCTGTGCTTCCTTGATGCCCACTCAAAATATTACATATATGTATTGAAACAAAATGGCATTATTAAATCAAACACCATGACAGGGATTTTGGAATGAGAAATACACACACACACACAATTATCAAGTGATTTTTGTTGACTAAAACATCTCTTAAAACTGCAGTCTCTGGGGCCTTAGGGAACCACAGTGGAGTTCATAGATGTTGTAGGTAAAAACTTCTTCCTCCTCCAACATTTTCCACACTCTCGACACTGAATTTAATAAATCTCAGCTCAGAGCATGCTAATGCCAGCAAAATGAAGCTATGTTTCCCATGTATGCTCATTAATGTTATCCAGCAAGCTTGGTGATAAACAGTAGGGAAATCCTTACCTTGGAGGGCTTGAAGAGTACGTGTCTGTACAACAATGCAGAGCTGCAAGACCAGTTGTGGGGCACTTTCCAGAAACGTAGCAAGCAAGTGCAGCATACTCACGTCTGCATACTCATAGACCATTTTCCAATAAAAGCGCCATCTGTCATTATCTCCACTCCTCCTACTCCTGATGCCCAAGTATATAGTGTGAAAATACCTAAAAAAAGGAAAAATAATTTTAAAAGACCTGCAGATAGTATAATAATATAACAATATAAATCAGAGGTAGGAACTGTGAGGCCTGCATGTAACCCTTTGAGGAGTGGAGGTCATGTGCATCCCTTGAAACCCCCCACATATCCTCATGAATGTCTGTTTAAAGACTTCCATCTTTGGAGATTTTTAAAAGGAGGTTGAATGAATTTTTTTGGCAGTGTGTCACACACACACATGTATAGATATATATACCTGAATGGCAAGAGGTTGGACTAGATTCTTTGAATAGTGTTAATTATTTTTTAAAGAAAACAAGGGAGGGGACATTTTAATCTCCTTAGGGAAGGAGTCCAGAGGTGGAAGGCGACCATGGAGAGGCCCTTTCTCTAGTTCCCACCAGCTGTACCTGGGATGGGGGTGGGACCAAGAGCAGGGCCTCATTTGCTAATCACAGCGCTCGGACAGGTTTGTATACGGAGATGTGGTCTGGGCCCAAACCGTTTAGGGCTTTAGACGTAATAACCAGCACCTTGTATTTTGCCTGGAAATGTACTGCTTTCATGCTTTATGCTCTGATTCGATCTATGATATTTACAACAGTAACTCAAGTCAAGTGAGGTAATTTGCGTATATTATGTAATATAAAATACTGAAATATTTATGAAAAAAATAAGAAAATTTCTAATGGCTGGTTTTATATATATAGGGAACATTTACTGTGATGTCTGATTTGCTTCCTGCATCAAACAGTACATTAAACAATTTAGTTACACCATAAACAGCCACTCTTTCTACCATCCCATAAGTACAAGGAATCAAAGCCACTTCAGTTGGGATTTAAAAAGAAAACACAAACAAACAGTAATTCAGGTAAATGGATTTTTCACCTGCTGCCTAGCTACTTGGGGGAAAAAACCCTTAACATATTTTTAGCTCAATAGAAGTGACTGCTTATATAAAGAGTAATTGTCTATTTGCTCATTAGCTGTATATGAATATGAAAGTGTGAAGGAAACCACTTTGTTTTCTTATCAAATTACAATTCGTCTGATGGGTGTTTTACGGCACAACCTCAAACACTCAAAATTAAATTATGGTCATACTAATTTTCAGACAAATAGATTTTCAGATGAATAATAAAAGGTAGTTGCTAGCACCATAGATTCTCATTTTATCAGAACTCTGAAGCAACCAGCAAAAAGCAAAGAAAGACTACTACATTCACAAAGGTGTTTATATAACCCAGTAGAACTATGTTACATTAATTTAAGTTTGTCTTTGTCTTAATTTGCTTTTAGGTACTGTATTTCAATATTAATATGGTATACTATGAAGTACAGAAGAAGTTAGGCTTATTTTTAATAATAACTCTCAAGGAATAATAACTCTCAACCAGGAACTACATTTATCTAGCATCTATCAATCCCATAAACAGGATTAAATATAAACAGTATTAAAACATTCCCAGTTAAAAATCATTAAACCATATTGAAAATTAAAAACCACAGCACTCCCTGACTTGATCTTTAAAACTTTCTTCTTTAAAAGCCTGTTTGAATAAGAAGGTTTTAGCCTGCCGTCAGAAGGACATTAGGGAGGGGACCATTCTGGCTTCCCTGGGCAGGGAGCTCCATACTCGAGGGGCACCCACCGAGGAGGCTCGCTCTCCCGTTCCCACCAACCAAACCTGTGATGGAGATGGGACTAAGAGAAAAGCCTCTCCTGAAGATCTCAGGGCCTGAGCAGGTAAGTACAAGGGGATGTAGTCAACTAAATAGCCTGGACCCGAATGGTCTCTTCATGAAGCCAATTGTACCAGGAATAAAAACCACACTAAATCAATTAACCCAAACTTCCTCAAACTGGACAAGAGCAAAGCATACAGCAATCTTCCAAAGGAGACAAGAGCAAAGCAGACAGCAATCTCCTAAAGTGGACAAGAGAATGAGGTACAGAGGCTGCTCCCTTGAAGCCCTAAAGCCTGTATTTATTTATTTATTTATTTGTTTTTATTTGGTACACTTGTATACCGCTAATTTCTCAGCCTAGAACGGCGACTCAATTGCGGTTTACAGCATTTTAAAAACAATCTCAGTTTAAAAAACATATACAAATACAATAACAAATTATTGGGCCACCAATAATAATCCCATATATCTCAAGTTAAAATCACAATCCAGAGTTCGTTGTCCATATTTCCTGTCCATAGTCACCAAGATTCGATTTAATTGCCACAGATTAGCCGAATGCTTGTTTGAATAACCATGTTTTGAGTCTCTTCCTAAACACCATCAGCGACGAGGCTGATCGTACCTCTATAGGGAGGGCGTTCCAAAGCCGAGGGGCCACCACAGAGAAGGCCCTATCTCTCGTTCCCGCCAGCCGCACTTCTGAAGCTGGAGGGATAGAGAGAAGGGACTCTCCGGAAGATCTTAGGGTCCTGGTGGGCTGATAGGCTGAGATACGTTCGGATAGATAAGTTGGGCCAGAACCGTTTAGGGCTTTAAAGGCCAACGCCAGCACCTTGAATTGAGCCCGGTAGCATATCGGCAGCCAGTGGAGCTGGTTCAGCAAGGGAGTTGTATGCTCCCTGCGATCAGCTCCTGTTAAAAACATGGCTGCCGCCCGTTGGACTAACTGGAGCTTCCGGACTGTCTTCAAAGGCAACCCCACGTAGAGAGCGTTGCAGTAATCAAGGCGGGATGTAACCAGAGCGTGGACTACCGTGGCTAAGTCGGGCTTCCCAAGGTACGGTCGCAGTTGGCGCACAAGTTTTAACTGTGCGAAGGCTCCCCTGGTCACCGCCGAAACCTGGGGTTCCAGGCTCAGCGATGAGTCCAGGATCACCCCCAAGCTGCGAACCTGTGTCTTCAGGGGGAGTGCGACCCCATCCAACACAGGCTGTAACCCTATACCCTGTTCGGCCTTACGACTGACCAGGAGCACCTCTGTCTTGTCTGGATTCAATTTCAATTTGTTCGCCCCCATCCAGACCGTCACAGCGGCCAAGCACCGGTTCAGGACCTCGACAGCCTCCTTAGTAGCAGGTGGAAAGGAGTGACAGAGTTGGACATCATCTGCGTACAGATGACATCGCACTCCGAAACTCCGGATGATCTCGCCCAACGGCTTCATGTAGATGTTAAACAACATGGGAGACAATATTGAACCCTGCGGAACCCCACAAGACAAAGGTTGTGGGGTTGAGCAGGAGTCTCCCAATAACACCTTCTGAGACCGACCCTCGAGGAATGAGCGGAGCCACTGTAGAACAGTACCTCCAAGACCCATCCCCGCGAGGCGTCCCAGAAGGATACCATGGTCAACGGTATCGAAGGCCGAAGAGAGGTCCAGCAGAACCAATAGGGACACACTCCCCCTGTCGAGCTCCCGGCGTAGATCATCCACTAAGGCGACCAAGGCTGTCACGGTTCCATGTCTTGGTCTGAAACCAGACTGTGCTGGATCCAGATAATCCGTGTCTACCAAGAATGCCGGGAGTTGTGAGGCCACCACACGTTCCATGACTTTGCCCAAAAAGGGGAGATTGGAAACAGGCCGATAGTTGACGAATTGAGTGGGGTCCAGTGATGGTTTTTCAACAGCGGTTTTATCACAGCTTGCTTTAAGCTGGCTGGAATTGCCCTCCCGAAGGGAGGCATTAACCACCACCTTCACCCACTCGGCCAATCCCCCTCTGGCCTCCTTTAGAAGCCAGGATGGGCAGGGGTCTAGGATGCATGTGGTAGCTCTCATTCCTCCAAGCACCTTGTCCACATCCTCGGATTGAACCAATTGAAATGAATCCATCAAAACCGGACAAGCAGATGCTCGTGTTACATCCTCAGAGACTGCCGTTAATATGGTGTCCAGACCAGAGCGGATCAAAGCGACTTTGTCTGCAAAGAACTGAGCAAAGGCTTCACAGCGAACTGCCGAGTCATCAGGGCACCCATCCTGGATGGTGGGTTTTAAAAGGCCTCTGACAACTCGGAACAGTTCAGCCGGACGGTTCTTTGCAGACGCAATAGTAGCCGCAAAGAAGATTTTCTTTGCGGCTTTTATTGCCGCGGCATATGCCCTTAAAAAGGACACAAACCGTGTTCGAGTTGGCTCGCTCGGATCCGAACGCCACACGCTCTCTAGTTCCCTCTTCTTTCGCTTCAACGCTGCCAGCTCCTCGGTAAACCAAGGGGCTGGTTTAGCTCGGCTACTTGAGAGGGGACGTTCTGGAGCGATCGTGTCTATTGCCCTAGTCATCTCCCCATTCCAGAGAGCGACCAGGGCATCAACAGGATCACCAACCGAGGTGGCGGGAAATTCCCCAAGAGCCGTCAGGAATCCATCCGGATCCATAAGCCTCCTGGGGCGGACCAATTTAATAGGTCCTCCACCTCTGCGGAGGTTAGGGGGTGCAGCAAGTCTAAAACTGACCAGGTGGTGGTCGGTCCATGGCAACGGAGAGATGGATAACTCCTCAACACCGTCACCTTCCTCCCATCCCTGACAGAAAACCAAGTCCAATGTATGTCCAGCACTGTGGGTGGGGCCAGATACTTGTTGGGACAGCCCCATGGTTGCCATGGTAGACATGGTAGACTGTACTCTTGTGCTAACGCTTCCTCAAGCACTAGCTCTTAACTCAAACTCTGCTCTTATGTCAAAGCTAAACCTAGGGTGAGTTGCATCTCTTAACTCAAATGCTCTTAAGTTGGGACACTCTTAAATAGAGGTTCCACTGTAGTGGACAGCCTGCAATGAATATTGAAGGGAATGAATGGCCTTAATAAAAGTACTAATCCCGCTTTAAAGCTGTCTGAGCTGCCAGCCATCTTTATATCTTGTAGATCTTGACCAAACATGACACATAGGGACTCCCCCACCCCTGCCCCCATGAAAAACTTTAAATACTCCCTCGTTTGGGGACAATGGCAGAGGATGGTGGGAGCTGCATTCCACTCACTTCCAGAGAACCCTGTGAGCCCCACTGATTATGGATAT